TAGGTGTTATGCACAAACAATGAATCATGGAACACGACATCAAAAACTAATGCTGTAATGTATGGTGATTAACATAACAATAAAAAATTAAAAAAAAAGAAAAGTAGTGGTCCTTCTAAAGTACTAATATTTTGTAGTGGAATCAGTCATTTACATGCTAGTATGAATGAGTCCCCAAGCTTTCCTGAGATTTGATGACTAAATGCAATGGGGTATCCTGGAATGGATCCTGGAAAAGAAAAAAAAAAATGGAAAAACTGGAGAAACTTAAAGTCTGTAATCTAGTTAATAGTATTATACCAATGTTCATTTCTTCATTTTGATAAATGTACCACAGTTATATAAGATCTTAACATTAGGGTAAGCTGAGTGAAGGGTATCCGGGAATCCTCTGTACTTTATTTTTGCAACACTTCTATATAACTAAAATTGTCTTAAAATAAAAAGCTAAAAAAAAAAAAAGACTATACATGGTGTGGGCAAAGTCATTAATGCTGAAAATGTGTCAAGTAACAATAAATATGGCATTATTCTTTGGACATAAGGTACATCTTTTCAGACGTAAGATTTGAGATTTGTACATCAGAAAACCATGGCGTCACTATCTTTGCCTCCATATTTGCTAAATTACACTGTAATTTGTATGAGAGATTTTCTGTCTTGTTCATCACAGTATCACCATCACCTAACTCAAAACGGACACTCAGAAAGTATGTGTTGAGTGAATGAATGAAAAAGTAAGTGAATGATGATATTCTAGACTGTACAAAGATAGTTTGATAAGCCCAACCCTTGACTTTTGGAGCATACAATCTGAGAAGATGTATTTATAATATTTTTTCACTTACATATAAATATATTTACATTTTTATTATGGATTTCATATAAATCTGAGAAATTTAAGAGTCACATATAAAATCTAAGGATATACATACATGTATATGAAAAATACAGGTGCTTATATATATATATATAATCAAAGAAAGCAAAATAACAATATTAAGCCAATTGGAGGAAAAGTGAAATTTATATCAGTAGGGATTTTTGCCTATTTTTGTTTGCCGCTGTATTCCCGCACCTAGAATAGGTTTGGCATTAGCTGACGCTCAATAAATATTTGTTCAGTGGATGAATGAATCAAGCCTCATGTACAAGCCAAGGGGATGCCTTCCAGTTCCTTTTGGGTGAGTGTGTAGGAAGAGGGGTTGCTGCAGAGAAGCCCTCGGTCTCTGAGCCTTGAGGCAAGTTGGCATGTGCTGTGTTTGGGCTAAGTGTTCCCCTGCCATACCTGGAACGTCCTCCCACTCTGCCTTCCATGGCTTTTCAGAATCCACATTGTGAACAAAGGTCTGAGTGTGTTTGCATCCAAAGGGAAAAAAAGAAATCCCACATCGGAAATGTCTCTACACACTCATTTCCACATTGCAATCTGTGTTGACTCGGTGAAGAAATTCAACGGAACTGAACCCCCCTTTGCAGAGTGGAACTTCTCGGGAGAGCCCCCCAAGCAAAAATGTCCAAAAGAGTCCCTTTGCCCTTGTGAATCACCACAGAAACATCTCTCCAGAGGAGGGCTTCTCTGCTGGAGGCCCCAAGTGGTATTTCTGTCCATCTTCGTACAAGCTCTTAACCAGGGCATGACTCTGGACACAACACAGGTAATTTCTCTACCTCAGAAACGCTCAAAGTAGAGCCGCGGGTTACAAAGATGAAACACAATTGTGTACACAGAAATCCATCTGGGATGCCAAAGGTAATTAACTCTGCTTTTTAGGCTTCAGAATCCCAACCTCAAACATTTCTGTTGTTCTCCTCCAGGCACTCCCATTATTAGAGACTAAAATTGAAATGATCTTCTCTTTATCATGATGCTATAATTAATGGGGAAAAGGAAAATGATTTTTGTGGGCTAAGGTCTCCTTTACCGGCTCTGTTGCCATTGTTATTCATGGGAAAACAGGAAGAACTCAGTGGAAGAATTTATCTCTGGGAAAGACCTAACAGCTGCCGAGAAGGTGGTCTGAGGGACATCCGAAAGACCATCCAACCAAAACGAATGCCCTTGCTGTCCCACCACAGGGACTAACATGGTCAGCACAGATTTCCAGCAAGTTACTCCCTTTCCTCTGAAAACTTGCACAGAGATGTAATCTGAGTGGGGTAACAAATTAAGCCATTGCCACACTGTGAGAACACGATATTTATCAGATTAGCCAGGCGATAGATGAGAAAGACCCTAAGGGAATGGGACATGGGAGGTACTGGTTAGATGAAGATGATGATGGTGACAATGAAGATGACAATGACAGTGATGATATCGTTGGTGATGGTGGGCTGAAGCCCACCAAAGACTTAAGATGGTGCCCTGGCTGGAGCACCCTAGGTTTCCAGGGTAGGAAGCGTTCCAGGGTCCCTGGAGGTAAGAGCACAAAAAGAAAGGAGTAGGGGGCAGCCATCGACAGAATTGACCCCTTGGCCTCAAGTCTCCTCTGCTCACGGCACTAGAACTGTTACTCCTCAGGGGCAACAGTCCAATTGCCTTCTCTTCCAGCTCTATCGAAGAAATACGTAGGAAGGGACAGAGACACATCTGGATGAACATGAAGGGAGTTGCTGCGTGAAAAATGTGCTTTGCAAGGAATTTCCTTTTCTTCTCTGGGAAAGGAAGACAGGTCACCCATGCTGGGGACGGTGTCCCTAAGAAAACTTAGAACTTTGAGAGAAAAAACAAAACAAGACATGCAGGAGGACACAATTAGCGACATGTTCCATTCACCTCCCACAGTTATCTTGGCAAGACTGAACAATTTTGTGTGTTATCACACTGTTACCCAACGGTATTGTCTTGTCATCTTAATCTGTTCTTTCCTCTGTTTGATCTTTCCAACTTGAC